AGAGGTTCCCATGTGGATATCCCCTGTTGTTTCCTGTCATCCAGCCATTCCCCGTTCCCTGCACAGACTCCAGTGAACCACCCCCCTGAACCATTCCAGTCCCAGTGTTTTCTGTGTGCATTTGGGCTTATTAAACATTTTGCACTTTTCCCCTGTCTCCTCCGTGTGTGTTCTGCATCTTGGGCTTGACTCTCTAGTGCCCATCATGACAGAACACTGCGGCCAAACACAAAGCCCAGCAGATCACCTCCGTCGTAGCTCTGAGAAACAGGACGCTCCTACTCCTGATCACACTCAGTCCCTCCGTGAGTTAAAATCCCCGTTTGACTCAAAGAAAACACTCGTTTCAAGATCCCACAAGCTGCGGGGGAATCACAAGATGGCGCCAGTTCAACTTCCGGTTCCGGATTCGTCACTTCCGGAATTCCGTCCGTCACCTCCGAGTCAAGATGATAACCCTCCTTTCTGGTCTGAACTCATCCCATCGTTTTCGTCACCCGGTCCTCCTCTACCTGAGAGATTTTCTGGCGACCCAAGTAAGCTCAAGGGATTTTTATTTCAGTGTCGGTTATTTTTTAGTTTTCACACTTCTAATTTTCGTTCTGATAAGGATAGGTTAGCCTTTATTATTTCTTTTCTGTCTGGTGAAGCCCTCGAATGGGCGGAGACCAAATTTCCGCTTAAAACCAGAACAAACTGCACATATGAAAGATTCATCCGAGAGTTAGAAAAAACCTTTACTCAGTCCTCTAGTTTCTCCGTTTCTAGTTACCTTCTGAATTCAAAACAGGGTAATAGGTCCATAGCTGAATTTTCTTCCGAGTTCCTGAGTAGAGCAGCCGTTTCCGGGTGGAACGAGTCTGCACTCAAGTCAGCTTTCCTCGTAGCTTTAAACGAATCGGTCAGAACCGAGCTTTCTTTTCACGTCGAGCCACCTAGCCTCGAGGATCTAATTGAACTAGCCATAGGATTAGATCCAGCATCACAAATTAGTTTCAGTTCTTCTCCGCGCCGGGTTAGCCTCAGTTCCCATGTCCTAGACCACCATTTAATCCCATCTGTTAAAAGACTCAAGATTAGACCATCAGTTAGAGTTCCACGCCAGCCAGATCCTGATCCTGAATTAGTTATTTACCCGGATAGTTGTAAACCCGACTCCGTGCCTGATCCCTTAGCCTCTGATCATGTCATTCTTTCTGGTACTCTTACTTTTCAACCGGTTCATTTGTCGCCAGATTCAATCAGTGAACCCGTCAGTTTGGTTCCAAAGATCCCTCGGCGTAAAAAGAGGCATCGCCTTAAATCAGCTCTGTGCCGTCTAGAGACCCCTGAGCCTGCACTGTGCCGTCTAGAGACCCCTGAGCCTGCTCTGTGCCGCCCTGAGACCCCTGAGCATACACTTAAGAGGGCGTCTGAAATTAGTGTTGGTGAAAATGTGCCTCCAAGGTTCCCTCAGCAGAGGCCACTAATCACCAAGAACCCTCCACCTACGCCTCCAGCCACCTCTGAGCCTGAACTTGAGCCTCCTTGGGTGGTCCCTCCGTTTCCAGAGGCTGAACCACAGTCGGTGATGTCTCCTGTTCCTGTGGTGGAGCCACAGTCGGTGGCCTCCCCAGTTCCTGAGGCTGAACCACAGTCGGTGGTATCGCCTGCACCAGAG